GGAAGTCTCTCATCCTCTACCTACTTCTTTCTTATCCTTTCTTATCCATCATTTATAATAATGCCATAATACTGACCCCAGGGACAGTCAAAGTGGTCTGTAAACACCTTATTAAAGTAAGGAGTTATTATTATTGCTATTAACACTGATAGATTCTGCCTCTACCAGTAATTACTGGCAGGAACTTACTCAATAATGTGGGGAGACACTGCTTTCTCTCTCTCTCATTTTTTTTTTTTTTAAGGGAGAAATGCTGAACTTCACAGGTTAAGGAACCTGTTGTCTGTCAGGTAGAAATAGGTGGGTTGAGAGGTTTGGTTGGTTTGCTGAAGGGAAAGAACTAGAGCATTTCAAGCATACTCGGTTCCCAGAAGGCTAGCAACAGCAGAAAGACAAAGCTAAGGAAGGAGGGTGTCAAATACAAACCTTGCCAGTCAACACACTATCTGGGGCAAGTCTCATACCCATAAAAGATACCTAACAGCAGGGGCCGAGATCCTTCTCTACTCACAGCACTCCAGTTTACTTCTATCATATTATGGACTAGGTAACCATTTACTCGTGTCCTGGCTTAGGAACAACCATCATATATAATGCTTTTTTTTTTTTTTACCTGACAGGAGATTTTATTTATTTAAAGAGGTGAAAGGGTGCCTGCATCGAGGCAGGACAGAGGACAGAAGAAGAAGAGGAGGAAGAAAAAGAAGAAGAGGAGGGAGAAGAAGAGGAGGAGGAAGAAGAAGAAGAGGAGGAGGAAGAAGAAGAAGAAGAGGAGGAAGAAGAAGAGGAAGAGGAAGAGAAGAAGAGAGCGACCAGGGGAGAGGGTGGTCTTATATAGACCCGGGGTTAGGAGGCTGTACGTCAGAGCTGGAGAAAGGGGTGTTAACCTATCAGAAGCTATGTTGCCTTTTAAAATTTGCACCTTGCAGGAAGCTCAGTTTCGACTTCCTTTAACTCACTTATGACCTTGGGCAGGGCAGCAGGGAATGAAGAAGAACCCGGAAGAGACACACAAGAAGGTGTGGCATATCTCTAACATTCCCCCCTCTTTGGTTTTTTTTAAAAGAAACAAAGAAGGGCCCGCTTTTGTGGGAAAAGGAGCAAAGATCAAGCTTCTGGAGCTGCTTCCATCATATATAATGTTGTTTTGATGGGAAAACATGTTGCCATTTGTGAACAAGTGACTTACAGCAGATCTTTTGGAAAATGTCTCATCCATAAGCTGGGGCTAAACAGAGTTGGAATCAACTCCTGCTGGAGAGGGTTTGCCAGGGATTGTGTCCTGAGATTCACAGCAAAAGAAGGCAGCCTCATTACAGGGAGTAATGGAGGATACCTGGCCAAATTTTCAGATTCAAATCTGGGTTAAGCAATAAATAATACAATGGCAAGAAAGCAAGAGGAGACTAGCTAAGGAATGGGAGAAACTGGAGGCTGCAGAAGCTAGAGACAATAGAGACCAAGGTTTGCAACCTGGCTCTTAGGAAGAAACTCAGTTTCTGACTGCTCTTCTCCTATCAGTCCACAGCTGGCTTCTTATCACTATTCAGATCTTATCTCAAATATCACCTTCTCAGAGGGTCTTCCCTGATGATCTATCATAAAATTGTCCCTACCCTCACAATCACTACCCATCTATCCTCTTAGTCTGATTTTTTTTCTTCTCTTCATAGCACTTACCACTACCTGAAATTACTGGATCACTTCTTTTTTGTCTGTCTCTCCCTACAAGAATGTAAACTGCAGGAGTGTCACTTGTATTACATTCACTAGTGTATGCCTAGGACCTAGGACACACTGAAAGCACACAAAACATACTTGTTGAATAAATAAGTAGGGCTGTTATGTGATCAGATGATGGACTATCTACCCATCTATCTGGCCCTGGTGGCACAGTGGTTAAGCACTATCTCTGCAGGAGAAAGATGCGGCAGTCTGCTGTAAAGATTACAGCCTTGGAAAACACTATGGGGTATTTCTATTTGTGACTATGAGCTGGAATAGATTCAATAGCACACAACATCTGTCTGTCTGTCTTTCTGCCTATCTATTCAGGTATAACAGCCCTTAATAAATATTATAAAATAAGCAAAACAGAAGATGATACTGCTATTAGTCAGCAAGCATTTACTTAGCATCTTGCATGTGTCTCTCAGTGCAGAGGAAACATGGTCTTTTCAGGAGGCAAAACAAAATCAGCTAAAGATTGATTAATTCTTGTTGTGTGCTATCAAGTTAATTCTGACCCACAGTGACCTTACAGGACAAAACAAAACTGCCCAATAGTGTTTCCTAAGCTGTAATGTTCACAGGAGCAGATTGTCAGGTCTTTCTCCCATGGAGCCTCTAGTGGGTCTGAACCATTAACCTTCTGGTTAGTAGCCAAGTGCTTAACCATTCCATCACCAAAAACCAAACCAAACCCACTGCCGTTGAGTCCATTCCAACCCATAGCGACTCTATAGGACAGAGGAGAACTGTCCCATAGGGTTTCCAAGGGTGTAGATCTTTACAGAAGCAGACTGTCTCATCTTTCTCCCATGGAGTGACTGCTGGGTTCGAACTACTGACCTTCTGGTTAGCAGTTAAATCCTTAATCCATTGCACCATCAGGGCTCTTAAGACTGGTAACAACTTGAATCCTAACTTAACAAAGACTGCAAATAGATGAAGGCAGTTATGTCATTAGATAAACATGTTTATCTACCTGATACTCTGCTGATGCTGATGACATGGGAAAACATGAAGGGGTAGTAGTGGTGTGGCCAAAGTGCAGAACAGTCTTGCATCTTCTTCTACAAAGTCAACCCTTCATAAAATACTCCTAATCTATCTTCTTTCAAGGGAGCAAAGAGAGGAACTTACTCTAGTAAAGTGATCCTCATTTCCCACACACTGTAGGTAGGGCCAAGGAGTGCTGGTGGTGCAGTGCCTAAGGCATCTGACTGCTATCCAGAAAGGTGGTGGTTCACCAGCCACTCTGCAGAAGGAAGACAGGGCAATCTCCTTCCGTAAAGATTTACTGCCTCAGATGGAGGGATGGACACAGGGAAGAGGTAACTACTGGGAAGAAGTGGAGGGGTAAATTGTAGTCAATGTCATGAGACAAAGTGTGTGTGAACTGCTGTATGGAAAATGAATTCGTCCTGTAAATTTTCACCCAAATCACAATTAAAAAAAAAAAAAAAATGATTTAACACCTCGGAAACCCAATGAGTGTTACTATGAGTCGGAATCGACTGGATGGCATGGGGTTTGTTTTATTTTTTTGGTAGGTAGGGACATTTATTCTGGTACATGGCCAACCCACCTTTTGCTGAAATCATGTGAAGTCAGAAGCAACTGCAAGGCCTAGGTTATTTCACTTCTTTGTCTCCAGTGTTGCAATAGCAGCTGTAGCAGTGCTAGACACATTTTGGAAAGACTAAAGAACAAGACCTGTAAAGTCTCTTTCGGCATTATAGTTCCACGAAATCTTATCTGCACTGGGATTCAAAGAATGAGTAAACTGTTTTTGCAATGTTTTGACCATGGTGTTCTTTGACTCATACTTAAAGTTGGGAAAGAGGGTACTTATTTAAGACAGTGTTTTTCAAACTATTTTTAAACTAGCAGATGCCTTTTCTTTGTAAATGAAGTTTTACATGGACCCTGATATATGAAGCACACAAAGATGGCACTCCTCTGGATGCAGCAGCGGAGGGTCAGGGGCTATCCTCCTAGCTTGTCCCTTGCCTTTCTGAAGGAGCCCCTGATAGTTCTGAGGAACACCAATGGTTTAAGAACCAAGGGACAGGAAATTAATATTTAGATAAGTGAAAAAATGAATAAGGAAGAAGAGATAGCATTTCCTTACTGTGAAAAGAGTCATGAAGTTGGGAAATCACCACTTTGTAACCATCATAGTAAAGACTAGGTCTAGCAAGAATCATCAATGGATGCTAAATCTAGGAGAGCAAGTTTTATAAGGAGCAGAACATTTGCATGGTCTTCAAATGTCTCCCCATAGCTTGTTTCTAAGGGCGGAAGCATTATTTCTAAGGGGGAAACATTACTGGCTTGTGTTCTTCAGAAATGTCATGTCACACAAAGAAAGGAAAAGGAACTGTTCCAGATTAAAAGGTAAAAGAGACATGACAACTTAATACAATGTGTGATCTTCACCTGGGCCACATAACTGAGAGGAAAAATGTTATAAAGGACATTATTAGGACAAGTGACAACATTTGGAATATAGACTGTCAACTGGATGAAAGTATTGTAGAATTTCTAGATTTTGAAAATTGGAATATGGATGTGAAAGAGAATAATCGAAGAAAAACACACTTAAGTGTTATGGTCAAAGAGGGCATGATACAGGCAACCTACTCTTAAATATTCATAAAAAAAATAAATAATATTGCGTATTTATAGATTTGAGTAGAAAATCAACCTACTGACACCTAACTACAAAATCTGCATATACTGACAGGAGTGGTTCTCAGAGTGGGGTCCCTGGAAGAGCATCAACAACCCCTGAGACTTGTCAGAAATGCAAATTCTTGGGCCTGCAGAATCAGTTACTGTGGGGCTGAGGCCCAGCAATCTGTGCTTTAACAAGCCCTCCAGTGGATTCTGATTCATGCTAAAATTTGAAAACCACTGATAACCAAATGATAAGACAATGTGGTAAAATGTTAAAAAAAAAAAAAAAAAAACCTGGTAAATCTTGGTAAAGGGTATTGGCGAGTATTCCGTATAATTCTTATGCCTTTTCCTTAAGTTTAAATTCTTTTCAAAATAAAAATTAACATTAACAACTGAAAAATTAAACCTGGGCAATGTCTGAAGAGATTTGGAGAGAAGACCCAGGAAGTAAAGAAGCAAATGCCCTCATCTCAGGGAGTGATGAAATTCAGAACTAAAGTTGCAGCAATTCTGATCCAGGGTAGGGAGCAGGATTTTTGCAAGTCTTCAAACAATAAACCTCCTCGCCGAAAACGGACACAGACTATACTAACCTGAATAGGAGAGTCCGGCAATCTCTATAAAGAGCTCTTCTTCTGAAAAGCTTTCGGGGAGCATAAGCAAAGCAGCGTTCACAGCGCTCTTCAGATTTTTATCGAGGGCAGCCCGAAGAGCGGCATTTTCATTCATTGCTACGATTTTCACCTGAAAAATAAAACAAACAGCAGACCATGCAGAAGAAAAAGTATTGCTCAAGCTGTGGATTTACAAACGCACTGGAACGCTCCCAAACTCTTAGCACTGAAGATCTTGAATATCAGGCCAGCTGACAAAAAGTAATTAGCATTCTAATAAGCAGTCCCAGAGTCTCCCATTTTGTGCCAAAGTCAGAGAAATCATAACACAGGAAAGGATCAAAATGCCAATGGAAACAACATATTCTTCTAAATGCAGAAACTCATCATGGGTTTTGAAAAAGCAAGCAGTAGAAAGGGAGTAGATAAATGTTCTTCAGAAATGTTTTATTGTTTTCTAATCTCACTCTTTCCCACTGAATTTTCTAGGAGCCAAAGGCATTTTAGTTCTTTATTTAGAACTCATCTCTGTTCCTGCCTATATATAACCTGGGCAGTTTATGTTCTATTTCATGATTTCTAGATAAACTGATTTTGAACTTGACTGAGGAAAAAGAAAAGAAAATTAGGTATAGTAGAAAGAGTGTGAGTTATGGTGATAGGTCTGGCTTCAAGTCCAGTACTTACTAGCTGTGTGAATTTGGCAAATTACTTCTCTGAACTTAAGTCCTCATCTCTACAATGAGAACGATAAATGTGCATTAAGACTGTCACACTGGGCAGTGTGGTTGCTATGTGTCAGAACTGACTCGATGGCACCTAACAGCAACAAGACTGTTACACAGACTTAATGAGATAATGCATATAAAGTGTCTAGGATACTATCAAACAAACTCACTGCCACTGAGTTGATTCTAACTCATAGCAATGCCCACTGGGTTTCTGAGGCAGTAAATCTTTATGGAAGTAGATTGCCCAGTCCTTCTGCAGAGTGGCTGGTGGTTTTGAACCACCAACCTTCTGGTAAGCGGTCAAATGCCTTAGGCACTGCATCAGCAGAGCTCCTTTTGCTTAATTAATAAATGTTCACTGATTCCCTTCCCTTTCACTGGCTACCAGCTCCTCTTGAAGAGGAAATACAAAAATATAAAAGGATCCAGTCTGCTCTGAGATTCTGAGCTTTAAAGATCTTCTCAACAGTGTAAGAGAATGTGCTCAAGTCCCAGTTCCATTTCTCACTAGCTCTGTGACAATGGACATAATTCCTTATCAGTAAATTGGGGTTAATAGCAGAATCAGGCTCATAAGATGGCTGGGAAGGTTAAATGTGATACTGTATATCACTTACTATGTATGTGTGCTTCCTGGCACACAATGCAAGAGTTCCTCTGGGCCAGCAGTTCTCAGAATCACTTAGAGGTCATATTGCTGGGCCCCACCTCAGAATTTCAGATTCAGAAGGCCTGGGAGAGACCCCACAATGTGCATTTCCAACAAGTGCCCAGGTAACCACATTTTGAGAACCACTGCTCTAAGGTATATGCTTAGAAGTAGAATTGCCCAAATGCTCTTTAGAGTGGTTGTACCAATTCACACTTCTGCCATCATCTTTTTAAAACATCATGCTGTTTCCAACTAATTTTCTAAACAAGAAAGGGACTAAAAAGCAAATTCACTGCTGTCAAGTCAATTCAACTCACAGCGACCCCTCCTTGGGTTTCTTAGGCACTATGCCACCAGAGCTCCCAGAAAGAGACCAGAAGTCCTTAATAAGGACCCCTATATATCAGAAATACAGCCATCCCATGCGATCCTCAGCTTCTATGACCATCAGATCAGAAGAACTAGATGGTGCCCAGTGTTCTGGTTACCTATTGCCGCTCTGACAAGAATATACCACAAATGGGATGGCCTTAACAAGCAAGAATTTATTCTCTTACACCTTGGAGGCTTTAAGTCCAAGTTCAAAGTGCCAGGCTCTAGGGGCTAGGTGAAAGCCTCTCAGCCCTGGGCTTCAGCTCTGCCTGTTGCTCCCAGCCCACTGAAGCTAGAAGCATCTCTTCACTCAGGCAGCTACTGGCTGCGAGGCTAACAAATAAAATGGCACAGTCCCAATGTTACCAAACCACATGGCAGGCCATTAACTTAAGTCCATTGTAAGTCCCAAGGTCAGCAGAGCATAGCAGGCTGCTGAGCAATGACACGGCTACATGCAGGGTCCAAGCATGCCATAGGCTAGAGACCATTCCCAAGGCTTCTCCTTATATACAGGAAGCAGACCACATACCCAAAGGCAGCTACTCAGCTGCTTGTGGTAGATCCCACCATGGAGTCGTTTGCCAGTCTCATCATGGGGACTAACTACCACCAGCTGCCCAGCCACTCAACCAGCCCCAGCCAAGCTGACACAAAAACATAACCTCCACACCCGGCTACCACTGTCAAATCACTCAGAAAGGGATCTATGCGGAAGATCCTGGATAAAGTAGGAGAACAATATGGAACAAAACTCAAAATTATAAAAACAACAACAACAACAACAAAAAAAACAGGTTTGCTGGTCTGACAGAGTCTAGCGAGACCCTCGAGACTATGGCTCCTACTTACCCTTCAGGTCTGGAACTGAACTCATTCCTGTGGCCTTCAGCCAAACAACAGACAGGCATATAGGGTGAACATTTACATCAGGCAGATACACTCCTTAGAGTGTTCAATCGGTCAATCTTGGGAGAACACAAAGGCAGTGTTTGCACAGGCAAACAGCTGGGGAATGCAATAAGAAAGAAGGGCACAGGGAGGAGGTAACGACAGGGAAGAAGTGGGAAGAGAGCTGTTACATTGTGGAAAATTGCACTCAATGTCATGAAACAAAATGTATATGAAGTGCTGCATGGAAATTGAATTTGCTCTGAAGCTTTCACCCAAATCACAATAAAAATTGAAAAAAAAAAAAATACAACCACCATCTCTAAACCATTTAGTGCTGACACGAAATTGTCCTTCCACCATGGAAACTGGGGTTTGTTAATTATAGATAATTTCTTACAATATGAAGATGGCACACAAAAGACACGCTACAGAAAACTTCAAAATAAAATTAGAAAGCCAAGAAAGTGAAGAATGATGTCTATCCCAAGGTACAATTTCTTCTCTCATTTTTCTCATTGATTGTAACAAGCATTATTCTAAATTATATAACTATTTAACAAATGACATTTAAGAACCTGAATTCTACCTTTACTTTTCTTTCACCCACTTTTTCTCTAAGGGAATTTTCTTATGGACAAACTTTAATGTTAGGTAAGCAGCTTGATTCAATACTACCACGTCTCCCTTGTAATTGCCAGTTAATAGCCCTTAATTAAGCCTTGCAGCACATTCTGAGTTTACTACTGTTGCAATCAACTGCAGAGAGTAAAACCAAGAAGCACCTTAGGAGCATGACTTGCCCAAGGTTGCACAATGAGTTGATGCAAAAAATCAGGGTTGCCACCCTCTACTTGGCAAATACAACTCCAAATATAGTATTTATTCTCATATATTCAGTTAGCCATCTTTTCTGGTTAACTTTGTGTTTTGAAAGATTATTAAAAACAAAATTTAGGGTCCCAAATAACTCCTGAAGGAGCTCTGGTGGCACACTGCCTAAGGCATTTGACTGCTAACCAGAAGGTTGGCAGTTCAAACCCACCAGCCACTCCACAGAAGGAAGACTGGGCAACCTACTTTCATAAAGATTTACTGCCTCAGAAACCCAAAGGGGGTCACTATGAGTCGGAATTGACTTGATGGCAGTGAGGTTTATTTATTTTTTTAAATAACTCCTATATTTATTCCTTGAATAATTTTAGCAAACCTTTTATTCCTTATAGAATTATGGATTTAAGAGGGTTTTCAAAAGAGTATTTAATCCAACCTCCTCATTTACTAATGGGAAAACTGAGGCCCAGAGGGGTTAAAATAATATCCCCCAGAGAAGCATACCCAGACCTGGCCCCTAGCCCCCCAGCCCCTCAACTCTTTTCTAGCATTCTTCCACAATCCTGGGATACCTGCTTACTTCCAAACTCCCATCCTTCTTCTGTGTTCACCAGGTCCTTCTAAATAACCCTTCTCCCTCTCTCTCTTTTGGGTGGCTTTCACAGCCGTTCAATGAAGTCAGAAGCTATATGAGATGCCGACAAATCAAAGATGCAAAGAAAAGAATATGTTTGGGGACATTTTCCTATTCAACAAAATACACTTGTTCTCCAAAAAGTTGTTCTACTTAGGTTAAAAAAGCAGTCTGTTTGCTATTTAAGATTACGAGAGTGAAAATAAAAATATATCCTTACGCAAAGGAAAAATGTCAATTCGGAAGACTCTGCTATTGTGTTGATCTGGTTCTTCAACGTAAGGTGAACTAGGAACTTGTCTCTGCAGCACTGCTATTTTGTTGTTCAGAGTGAAAAGCCAATGAACTCTTGGGACACTGCCAGAGAGGCCTGGGAAAAAAAGAAAGTCCTCAGATTTGTGAATAGCTGTTTGTATCTTGCTATGAATGCCCTGACCTGAACTGCATAGATAACATTAGCACTACTGACACGAGAAAATCTTTACTGGAGAGAGGAAGGGGCAACGTTTGAAGGGACTTTCAAAAGTCTACTAGAGAGATTTGTGAGTACCTTTCAAAACAGAAAAAAGGAAAAAGTCACATGTGGTCTCCTCTATACCCAGTCACTTGAAGGAAGGACTTAAATTGCAAAGAGTGAAGCTAAAGCCACAAAGAACACAGCCCTACCTAGTGTTCAAATACTGTCACTAACCCAATGTTACTTCCCACAGAATTTTCCACCCAAATGATCAGAAAGGGTAACTATTCCAAATGGCCACTGCTTGAGGAAGAAGAGAAAACACGGAACAGGGAGCTGGATGAAGCCTTGTTAATGATCTGCTGGTTGGACTGTGGTCTCTTGGAGAATATGCAATGTGGTGTCTTTTTTTTTAATTCCTTTGGCTTACACGGGGAAGAAAACGAGTTGTCTTTTGAATAAGTAAATGAATGGCTCAATCTTTGCATTTCAAAGGCTAGAGGCCCAAAGATTTGCTCACAGCTGTGCAGAGCCAGATAGTAGCCAGGTTTTCCAACTC